TTTTTTTTTTAAGATTTTATTTATTTATTAGAGAGAGAGAGACAGTGAGAGAAAGAACACAAGCAGAGGGAGTGGGAGAGGGAGAAGCAAGCTTCCTGCCGAGCAGGGAGCCCGATGCGGGGCTCGATCCCAGGAGCCTGGGTTCATGACCTGAGCCGAAGGCAGACGCTTAACAACTGAGCCACCCAGGCGCCCCTTCTCTTATCCTTTTAGAAGTAACCTGCAACCATCTTTCCTCTTCTAATCTCATTTCTACAGCGTCCAGTAATCTCAGGGTTTGGGTCTTTGTTGGGGGACTTCTGGAGGTTGAGGTCTTAGAAGTCAGAGTTTATCTGGGAAGCCATAGGTATAGGACTTTTGGAGTGTACAGTCCTAGGCAATTTTTGTATGTTCTCTGGTTCTCTACATATGATTTTTGTAATACCCACAAGTCCATGAGCGAGGTGTTATGATTCCCCATTTTGCAGATATGGAACATAATGATCAGAGAGGTGGTGATACTGCCTGAGGGCTAACGTAGTCCTCCTTCCTGGGCCCGGAAAATAGCCAACACAGAAGAGAAATCCATATTATGCCATGGAATGTTTAAAGTAAACATTTCCTCCTCTCTGTCTCTCAGAATAAGCAAAGCAAAGAAGAAATCAGAGGGGCTGACTCAGAGCATGGTGGACAGATGTATTCAGGTACACCGTAGCTTTATGTGTTTTTCGCAGCAAGGCTTGCCTTTCTATAACCTTTTAGGCTTGATCTTGTTGGCAGCAGTGTCTTTAGCTCTGAAGTGTGAGGGAGTATCCAGTGGAGCCTCTCGTAGAACTAAATCATAAAGAAAAGGGGAAAGATAGAGGGGAAGAAGTAGAAATGTGTATGGAGCATCAGGGGAGAAGGGGTTTATTGGAGGAGTTGGGGGGGGCACGACCACCCCAGAGTGCCAGCCCACAGAGGCGTCGGGGAGTAGGCTCCTGCTGGTCTTTGGCTGAGGCTGGGGTTTGTGCCTGGCTCGGTGTGCATGGAGAGGCACCAGCACACCCCATGCCAGAGCTGGTGTTAATTGAATGGAGTTGAGCCTTTTGGGGAGGTTCCTGTTCCCTAGACTGAGGACTCAGTGGCCCGGGCTCCTCTTCACACTAGGATGAGATCGTGGACTTTCTGACTGGAGTGCTTACTCGCGCTGAGGGGCACATGGGCTCTGAGCCTCGGGATCAGGATGCTGAGAAGAAGAAGAAGCCTCGGGATGCAGCCCGAAGAGACCTGGCCTTTGAGGTGCCCGAGCGGGGCAGTCGGCCTGCCTCACCAGCTGCCAAGCTGCCTGCCTCACCCTCAGGCTCGGAGGTAACGCGGGACGGGAGGGAGCACTTTGCTGGGGAAGTAGGACTGTGGAGTTGGTTCCTTCACTTCCTGGGGGTGCTTGTTTGTCTTGCCAGTGCTGTAGACCTTTGAGTTCCTAGGAGGAGAATTCCTGAGCCGGGAATTCCAAGGGGACATGATAATTGGTGGTCAGATCCAAACAGCTGGCTCAGCTCTTATCCTTCTCACCCTACGCAGGATCTTTCCAGTGTGTCTAGCAGCCCCACCTCCAGTCCTAAGACCAAAGTGACTACAGTGACCTCTGCCCAGAAGTCCAGTCAGATCGCAAGCTCTCAGCTCCTGAAGAGACATGTGCAGCGCCCAGAAGCTGTGCTGACCCACAAACAAGCCCAAGGTAGAGGCTTCTTGGCCCAGTGGCCTCTTGGTTTATCTTCTGGAGTGATGTCATGTGGCATTTGAAAAGTATTGGCATCTGCAGCTTTTTCCGGGGGCATGTGAGAGGTACCCTTTCCCACATTTCTCTCCGGACAAAATTAGGTTGAAATGAATACCAAGGATTGTTTTCAAGGGTAAGACATTACAGAAGGTCTGTGCGTTAGTGGAGCTGTATAGTTCCACTAATTATAGCTTTGCTTTGGTGTTCTGGGGAAGTTAGGCTTTGTGAGCTGACTACGTGTGTATTTGCCTCAAAATTTTTTCTGACTTCCAACTGGGGGAAGCTACTTGCTCTGTTCTAGGCCCTGCCCAGCCACTCGTGCAGTCAGGGCGCTCTTCAGACCATGTGGGCAGGGTGATTAGCTTTATTCCTGAGATTCCAGGGCAGTGCAGCTGGTATCATGCGCTTTCTTTGTTTTGCCCTTAAAGAGTTAAGATTCCCACACTGGGACGTTCAGGGAAGTTTATCGGGGTTTCTGCAGATAGGCTTTAGATTAGGCTGGGAAATGTTTGTATGGTTGAGATTAGAGTCTAGAGAACAGTGAGTGCTACTGAAGCTGTAGAAAAGGGACAGTGTTTTGGGCAAAGAGAAAAGAAACGGTGGCTTTTCCCCTTTCTCCCACTTTGATCCAGTTGGGCAGCCCCAAGGTAAGGCCTCTTGGGCATTGTGTTTGATGAGGTATCCAGGGACATGTATCATCTGAAGTCTCGAGTACCTGGGAGGAGGCAGCACCAGAGTTGATTGTCAAGTAGAGAGATGCAGAGATGACATAGGCTGATCTGCTCACTTCCCCTGTGCTTCTTTTAGTGGAGCCAAAGGGTCAGGACTTCAATCCAGGCCTCTTATGAGGGTGCCCTTAAGAGTGGTGCTAACAAGGAGCACGTTTGAGTGGATCAGTGAAGGCAAAAAGACAAAAAAAAAAAAAAAAAAGCCAGGCCCCTAGGGTCCACGTGGATGGTCTGTGACCTGACTTCTTAAGTGGTGGCATGAGCCAAGTTCTGGGTGGGTGGTGTTCGCTTAGGCTTTTGATGGAGAGAGAGCCAGTGGTCGGCTCTGCTTCTGGAGGGATACTAGGTTGAGAATCTAAGGAGTTCTGGAAGGCTGATTGGTGATCTGGGTTTGAAATGGGGCCCAGAATACCATGGCGCCGAGCAGTGGCCATAGCGCCCTGGCTTTGGCAGGGCTCATAGGCAGGGGGGGATAGTCATAGATAATTTTTATGGAGCCCTGACTACATGCCATGCCGTTTTTGTAGCACTTGACTTGCTGTTGCTCACTGAATCTTGGCAATGGCCCCATGAGGCGGGTGCATTTATTATTTTCAGTTTAGAGATGATTCCACGGAGCTGCTAGGAGTCAGGTTTCAAACCCATGCAGTAAATCTGGAAAAAGCCCTTGTTGACCATTTTCTAGAACATTTTCATATCTTTTTCTTACTCCCTCTCCTTTTCTCCTTTCTCTGGCTGGCTGTGATTCTGTAATTTTCTGATTCATTCCAGCACAGTTTGCTGCTTTTCTGAAACAAAATATGCTGGTGAGGAAAGCTCTTCCTCCCGGCACCTCCTCCTGTCTCTTTGGTGAGTATTGCTCTTCCTCTCACCCTCTCACGCTCTGCTCTCTGCTTCTCTCCACTTCTCCCTTGTTTTCTTCCCAGTCCTGCCTCTCATTTGTCTCTAGTTTCCTCCTGTTCTTTTCTCTCTTCCTTTTTCTGTCTTCTGATTCCTTTCTTGGCTGACTCCTTTTGCTTACTCCTCCATAGTACTCGCTTTTTCTCCATACTTTCTGTTTGCGTCTCATGGTTTTTCCTTTTTGGTCTCTTGTGGTTCTTGGCTCTGCTTCTGCTGCGTGTGCCTGTGTCCCATTGCCTGTGAACCTCAGTTTCCTTGTGTGTTTTTCTCCCTGCCTCTGGTTTCCTGCTTCCATCCTGGCCGCTACAAGCACACCAGCCACTGTCAGCATAAAACCTGTGGCTCCTTTCTCTTTCACCCTCCTTCCTATTCTGATTTTAGTCAATGCATTTATCCCCTAAGTGATCCTTCCAGCTGGTTATGCCCTGTGGCCCAGGCCAGGACCCCCATTCCTGCCTGCCTTCCTCATATGACTACTGCTTTCCTCCCCATCCTACCCCTGATTGCCTATGCTAAGAAGAGGGCCTGGGGTGGACTTCTGGTTTTAAAGAGAAGGGAATCTCTGAGAAAGCTTGAAGGATAACTTCAGAGTCCAAGAGGCTTGGCCATGTGCAGGACAAGTCTGTTTGATTCAGCAGAGGGGGGCATCCCATGTGTGAACAGTTGGCCTTTCTCTGTACTAGTACAGATGACCTGGGGACTAGTTATGACATGGGCCACTGTTGCCCTGTTGCTTTTGGGCAGGAGCAGTAAAGTTGTCTTGGCTAAAATGCTCCCCTGCCTAGTAGCTACTCAAAGCCAGACCCGATTCCTGGCAATAATCCTTCTTGTTGCCTTCATTTGGCCAGCAAACCGTCACCCTTGGTCTCTTAGGACAGAGGAGGACTCTGAGAGCCTTGTGAAATTCTCCCTTTTAGAGAGGAGTGGGTAGTATGCTCCTTTACTGCTTCTTTGTGGAATGTTTACTGTTCCCCAGCCGTGTGATACAGGGGTGGGCCTGAAACAGGAAAATTAAGACACTGAGTCCAGGAAGCATTGCTTAGATGCATAGTAGTGAGTCCTCTGTTTTTTGGTTGGCCTTTGCTAGGAAGGGTCAGGGTGTCTTCTTTCTTTTTGTTCCCACCGACTCAGAGCCCCCTTCCTTCTAACTCCAGAACAGGGTAAGGGCTGGGGATGGACCCATCTTCTGAGCGGGCAGGGTGGCCTTCTGCCACAGGTGGGACCTGAGTGAGATGGGACTGAAGCATTGGCAGTTGCCTTTGAAGTGTGACTTTGTGTGTGACACACAGTCATGCCTGTGCTGCTGCTGTCAGTGTCTCTCGGGCTTTTTTGGATTATGGAAGACCTTATTTCAGCTCCATCTCTCAGTTCCCATTTCATCAGAACAAACGGAAGAGGCAGAGAAAGAGGATCTTAGGGTCCAGCTGAAGCGCCACCATCCCTCCAGTCCTCTTCCTGGCAGTAAGACCTCCAAGCGACCGAAGATTAAGGTCTCCCTTATCTCCCAAGGGGACCCAGCTGGAGGGCCTTGTCCTCCTTCCCAAGGAGGAGCTCCAGAAGGTGAGTTTTTCTTGGGCTGTTTAAATAAAAAATGAGCTCTCTCAGACCACTTAACATTGCTTTCTTGGTGACTACTTGCTGTACAGCTCAGCCTCTACTTTAATGCAAGGTGTGCCTGGAGCAAGGGGGACACACACGGTAGCACATGGGGCAAAAGTGGGCAGTGACCTGATCTGAACTAGGATCAGGGAAGCAGAACAAGGATCAGAGGGAGCTGTGGGGTCACTCAAAGCATCATTATAGGGCGCCTGGGTGGCTCAGTTGGTTAAGCGACTGCCTTCGGCTCAGGTCATGATCCTGGAGTCCCGGGATCGAGTCCCGCATCGGGCTCCCTGCTCAGCAGGGAGTCTGCTTCTCCCTCTGACCCAGCCCTCTCTCATGCTCTCTCTCTCTCTCAAATAAATAAATAAAATCTTTAAAAAAAAAAAATCCCTTTAAAAAAAAAGCATCATTATATTTTGTTCTTTATCAGTTTCAATTAAAGATAAGAAAATATTCCAGGGATGCCTGGCTGGCTCAGTTAGTAGAGCATGACTCTTGGTCTCAGGGTTGTGAGTGTGAGCCCCACGTTGGATATAAAGACTACTTAAAAATAAAATTAAAAAAAAAAAAGATAAAATATTCCAGAAAGTTTAAAAAATAGAAGAAAAAAATAACTCTCTACTCTACTATACTTACTCTTTGTTTTTCTTCTTCTTCCAGTCTTTGTCCATGATATTTTGCTTTCAGCCTGGGCTGTGAAACCCTGAAAAGTAGGGGCCAGGCGGGACTGACCAGTGGCCTTGGGGTTTTCTGTTTTGCAGCTGCGGGAGGGAAGCCCATCACCATGACACTGGGGCAGGCTTCAGCAGGGGCCAAGGAGCTCACAGGGCTTCTCACCACTACCAAGTGAGTCTATTTCTTGGCCTTTCTGGTTCTGTTCCTTTCTTTCTCTTCACCTTTTCTCTGGTCTATTTAGCGTTTTGGAAAGCTGGTAGAGTATTCTGTCAGTTTTGGGAATATGACTTCTTTCTGAGTGGGATCTTTGTCTTTTTTTGGGTCAACTCAGAGTTCTTTTTTACTTAGTTTGCAAAGCATCTCATAGCTCTTGCTTCAGGGTTTGAAGTCTTTCCTTTAGGCCTGACTTTCAGAAGGACTAGAGGCCAGATTCAGAAGATAGGACAAAGAAATTCTAGGTTCTAGTGTCCACTGCTGGAAGCATTGCTGGGCCCCTCTGTGGACCCTCCCTGTGTTGCCAGGGTCTGCTGCCCTCTGACCTTGGATAATAGAGCTCCTGTCTTTGTCTCCAGGTCAAGTGCTTCTGAAGGGGGCGTCTCAGCCAGCCCAGCCTCCTCAGTGTCCAGCAGCACCACACCCAGTGCCTTGCACACACTCCAGAGCCGTCTGGTGGCCACCTCTCCTGGCAGCTCTCTCCCAGGTATCTGGTAGCCCAGCATTCCCTGCCTCCCAGCAAAGTCTCTTGGGCTGCAGCTGGAGGGTGGTCCTGGGAAGGCAACTGAATCTGGAGGGTGCTCCTCTGAGTTGCAGGCTTTCATAGAGGCTTGATGTGAAGCTGGAGTTAGCTTTGAGGTGGGGGAGTTCTTGGTCTCAATATCTACAGTGAGTAAATATCCCAGTCTGCAGGTGGTATCTCTTGTACTGTAAGGAGGAGAAATAGCTGGTGGGAGATGTGTGTATTGTGTTCATTGTGGTGTTTTTTAACACATCTGATTGCAGAAAACTGGAGATTGTGCTGTACTAGCATTAACAAAATGAGGCACCTTTCTGCCTCTGCTTGTCTCTTCACTTTCGCCACCCCACCCTGCATGGGAAGGCTGGTTGCCTGAGCCCAGCCAGCAAGGCTCTGCAGGTGTCCTCCTTCCGGAGGACCTCCCTCTTTGCTTTATGGCTGCTCAGCTGTGTGTAGTGAAATGTAAATCAGGTATTTGGAATTCTTTTGGCTTAAGAAGCTGTCCTTTTCTCTGGAAAGGATGGAATTTAGATTTCTGAAAAGTGGGTGGGGTTCAGCCTCTCTTTGGTTTTCCTAAAACTGTCCAAAAATAAGATAGGTGGTTTGGAGCAGGTTGGGATATGCGGAGCAAATCCAAGGCAGTGTGTCTAGCATAGTACCTTTCCTTGTGTGGGCATGCAGTGTGCGTGCCCAGGGAGCCCTTCCTGGCATCTTCCCGAGAGCACTGGTAATGTCCCAGGGAAACAGCAATGGTATTTTAGCTGGTTGTTGAGGGTGGATGGGTGTGGCTTCTCTTGGGATAAGGAACTGAGCCTGTGCTGACATCTGTTCTGCTCTCTCCTAGGGGCCACACCAGCCAGCAGCCTCCTTCAAGGCCTCAGCTTCAGCTTGCAGGATATCAGCAGCAAAACCTCTGGCCTCCCAGCAAATCCTTCCCCAGGGCCAGCCCCACAGGTGCACATCTGCTGTCCACGGGGCTGGGCAGCTGTGGGGAGGAGGCCTCAGTTTAGTTGGTTTTGGCAGAGCAACTGGGTCTGGAGTCTGGGTCAAGACAGACAGCTTTCTGACGTCACGCCTGGGAGCTACCAAAGGTTAAGGCTCCATGACTTCCTGTGTGACCTTGGACAAGTTTGTTGACCTCTCTCTGTTTCCTTGTCTGTAGAATTAGGATAATGATAGTATTTCTCTCAAAGGGTTGTTTTGAGTATTAAATAAGATAGTGTATGGAAAATGCGTGGAAGTGTACCTTGCATGCAGTAGGTGTGCAATACATGGTAGCCTTTAATGCTCTGGGCCCTCCACACTTGAACATTGCTTGCTTTTGGGCAATAGCTTCTGATCACCTGAGCTTGTGTGTCCTACAGGCCACCGGTGTGAAGTTGCCCACCCCCATGCAGAGCCTGGGTGCCATCACCACGGGCACCAGCACCATTGTCCGTACCATTCCTGTGGCCACCACTCTCTCCTCCTTGGGTGCCACTCCTGGTGGGAAGCCCACAGCCATCCACCAGCTGCTGACCAATGGGGGCCTCGCTAAGTTGGCAAGCAGCCTCCCTGGCCTGGCTCAGATCTCTAACCAAGCATCAGGTGAGTCTCTCATGACAGCTGTGGGGACTCTTGGATATGGGATCTTTCCCTAGGACCTTCCCATCTCACATGGGCAAGGCTTGTTGTTGAACCCAACTCAACAGGGTCCTGGTATTGACCCTCAAGGATTCAGCTGTGTGGGTCCATCCCCCAGAGAGGTCGGAAGAACACAGCTGATAGGGTGGAGCTGACCCAGCTGGGGAGGATACTGAAGTGGGCGGCCGAGGGGGTGGTGTGTGATGTGAAGAAACTCTCCGGGAGGAGAAGGTAGAGACTGTGACAAACAACCCTCCTTTCCCCCTCTCTCTGTCAGGCTTGAAGGTCCCTACTACCATTACTCTGACACTGCGTGGCCAACCAAGCCGAATCACTACGCTGAGCCCCATGGGCTCGGGAGCAGCCCCGTCAGAGGAGTCCAGCTCCCAGGCTCTGCCGTCCAGCTCACAGGTGAATTCTGCCTAGGAAGACTGAGGACACAGGCTCTGATACCGGGAAGTTTGGGGCCGGCCCACTGGCTGAATGGAGGAGCCGCCAGTGCCCTGGACTTCAGGCAGACCACATTCAAATCCAGACCTGGGGCTTTGTAGCTTTGTAACTTTGAGCAAGTCATGGATCTCTTTGAGTCTCCTCTTCTGTAGCACTCCCTGGGTAGTCAGGAGGGTTAAATACATAACTGTGTTTGGGTGTGTAGCATCCTCAGTGTTTTAAGTTTTGTTGGCGTTCCCTCTCTATTTATTTTCTCTTCCCCTTCTTGGCTTCATCAGTCAGAGGTTGTGGTAGAGGCTAGCAAGTTGATTAACACCCTTTCTTTGACCAGCTTTCCAGCATCGTGCCATTCCGGCTCTTGGCATTCACTGTCATCTTTTTAGGACACACTAGGTTTCTATAGCTCTTACCCACGAAGCCACCACCAGTTCCTTGTAGTCGATCTGATTTCCATTGTGAGCTCTTCACATAAAATGTTTCTAATCTTAAATGGTGATCTGAGAGCCACTCAGAGATCAGAGGTGAAAGAAAAAAATAGTTGGGAGTCCAGTGTGGCGCGTGCTTTCCTTCACCGTGCACTGTTGCAGCCACGGCCTTCCTCGTGGGGACTGCCGTGACTGAAGGCCTGGCCCTGTTCCCGTCACTCCCACCACCCCAGGCCTGCGTGGGAACTGGGGGGCGGGCTCCCAACTGTTCAGACCATTTTCTGCCGCCTCCTCTTTAGAGGAAAATACTGTATAGATTGTTACCTGGCATTCATTGGGATCATAGTTAGCCCTCCCTGCCTTTTTTTCAGAAAAGTGGAGGTGTTTTTATGTCTTTCTTTTATTTTTTTCCTTATTTTTTTCAATTAGAAAAGTGATTGTGCCTAAATAATTCAAACATTACAGAAATATTGTCATTTAGAAAGTGAGTTTCCCGTGGTACCACTCCCAGAGATGATATCCACTATTAATAGCTCAATATGCATTCTTCTAGATCTTTCTTGCTATACAAAGTACATTACTTTATTTTACCTTTTTTTTTTTTTTGACAAAAGTGTAATCAAAGAATGTGGACTTTTTGTAACTAGTCTTTGTTTACAACAGATGTTGTGACATGTTTCCCATGGGTTACATAGAGACTTATCTCCTTGTCAGTAGCTGCCTCGTGTTTTGCTGGGTGGATGCAAGAAAGCACATTTCACCACCTTCTGTTAGAGAGTTGGGCTGTTTTGTTTTTGATACAGAAAATAGTGTTTCAGTGAACACCCTTGTTCCTGAGTTTTGTGTGCCTCTGGGGGATTTCAGCAGTCCAGAGACCAGTAAGTGGTGGGTACGTGTGTCTGACATATGGCTAACTGCTGGCTAATTGCCCTTCAGAGGCTCTGCCAGTTTACAGTTCAAGCCATAGCAATGATAATACCTGTTTTCCCATGTCTTCGTCAGCTGTGGAAATCAGTGTTTTAAATTTTATTAATTTGATGAGTGAAAAATGAAATTGTTTATTTTTTTTTAAGATTGTATTTACTTGGGGCGCCTGGGTGGCTCAGTTGGTTGAGCAACTGCCTTCGGCTCAGGTCATGATCCTGGAGTCCCAGGATCGAGTCCCGCATCGGGCCTCCTGCTCAGCAGGGAATCTGCTTCTCCCTCTGACCCTCTTCCCTCTCGTGCTCTCTATCTCTCATTCTCTCTCTCTCAAATAAATAAATAAAATCTTTAAAAAAAAAAAAAAGATTGTATTTACTTGTCAGAGAGAGCAAGCACAAGGAGGGGGAGCAGCAGGCAGAGGGAGAGAAGCAGGCTCCCCGCTGATTGGGGAGCCCAACAACACAGGGCTCAATCTCAGGACCCTGGGATCATGATCTGTGCCAAAGGCAGACGCTGACTGAGCCACCCAGGCGTCTCACTGGAATTGTGTAAATGTGTATTTTCCTGATTACTTATGAGATTATATGTCTTTTATGAATGGCTCATCATATTCTGTCTACTTCGATTTATAGCAGCTTTATACATTCAGATGTTAATCTTTTACAAGTTGTGTATCTTTTACTCCAGTCAACTGCTTATCTTTTTCTTTTTCTTTTTCTTTGTATTGAAGTATTAAGGACATTTGTTTCATACATTAAAAATTTATATATAACAAAATCTTCAAATCTTTCCCTTCATAGCTCCAAGGTTCATATTCTCGATGGCTGCACACACTTGGGCCTTTTTTGTCTCCATGACCCATCTGTTTTCATACTAGTTTTATATAATTGTTTGATAATGTAAGCCCTCCAGTTAAGCGAGTGTCAGGTATGTTTCTAGTTTGCTACGATCATCGTTAACTCTTTTCATTTTTCTTGATAAATAAGGTGTTGAATTTTGTTCATTGCTCTTTTGGAATCAGATGAGAGAGCATAAACATTTCTTCTGAATCAGTTAAATGATGAATTACTTTAATTTCCTAATGTCAGATCGTCTAAATTCCAGATTCTGTAGCTGGTTCAATATGTCCTATTCTCTCTTTTTTTCATATGCCCCAGTTTGTTTGAATTGTGCACCCATAGGAAAGACCCTATCAAAAGAGAACAAAACAAAAAAGAAAGAAGCCAAGTGTTTCTTGATTTGCTTTTATTTTACTTAGGATCTTGGCCTCTATCTATTAGTGAGATTGGCATATAGTTTTCTTCCCATCCACCCCTGCTTTTGTGTGTGTGCTTTCCTTGTCCAGTTGTATAAAGACATTAATTGTATCTTTATAGAATGAGATGGAAGCATTTTTTCCCTCATATTCTAAAACATACATCGCATATTCTAAAACATACAGCACAGAAATTATGAGTTCTTGATAGTTTGATGCAAATTATCTATAAAGCCATTTGAGCCTATTTTCAGGCAGTCTTAACCTTTGGTGATACTATATTGATGCCCAACTAGAACGCATATCCCTACCATGTGATGATACCTTCCCCCTCTATTAGGGGTCTTTTTCAGCTTGCTGCAGCCTGGGGGAACTAGTTCACATTGAGAAGAGGCTAGATAGAGCTCATTGAGAATTGTTTTACATGGCTAAATTGAAGCACAAAATGAAGATCAAGATCTGACTTCTGACCTGATGGTATTAACTTAAGAGCTTAGTTTTTATCTCAGTAAAATGAGTGTATAATTACTAGGAGGGTTCTAGTGGTGATTCTCTTATTACAGAGAAAGGATGCATTACTAGATTAAGGTTTGCTGACTTGAAAGCTTCTAATGGTTACCTCAGTGTTCACACTGCCAGACAGTGTGATATCAGTGGGCTATGGGTCTGGCCCTCTGTCTTCAGCCAGCTGTGTGACCCTGGGAAAAATCACCTAACCTCTCTTGGTTTTGGTTTTCTTTTTTCTTTTTTCTTTTTTTTTTAAGATTTTATTTATTTATTTGACAGAGAGCGACACAGTGAGAGAGGGAACACAAGTAGAAGGAATGGGAGAGGGAGAAACAGGCTTCCTGTGGGGCAGGGAGCCCGATGTGGGGCTCTGTCCCAGGACCCTGGGACCATGACCTGAGCCGAAGGCAGACACTTAACCGACTGAGCCACCCAGGTGCCCCGGTTTTGGTTTTCTTATCTGGTCTAGTGAGGAGGTTGGCCTAAGTTAGTGATTATTGTGTAGGATTGATTAGGGGCTGTCTCAGAATCTCAAGACTTTGGGAAGCTGAACTTTTATTTTTATTTTTATTAAGATTTTATTTTTAAGTAATCTCTACACCCAATGTGGGGCTCGAATTCACAATCCCGAGATCGAAAGTTGCACGCTCTACCAACTGAGCCAGCCAGTCACTTTGGGAAGCTGAATTTTTAAATGTTGAGAAACAAACCATCCATTTACGATGTTTATGAGACAGTTGGAAATACAAACACTGGGTAATTGCCGTATTAAGGAATTGTTAACTTTTTTATCTGTGATAATGGTGTTTACATTGGAAAAAATAATCCTTTTTTAGTTTTGGGTTACATACTCATGATATTTATGGATAGAATGAAAAAGAAAAAGATTGTAAACACTGGCTAGACTTCTCTAAGGTCTGTGCAAGTACTTAATTATCTGTTCTGTTTCTGGCACTGATGAATATTTACTGTGTGTTTCTTTTACGGAACTGGACTCTTACGTACTCTTTACAGCTGAAAAGCTGTCAGAGGAAGAGGAGAGACAGAGACTGTGTTGTGCCCTGCACCAATGGACTCGTTGCCTGTGGTCACATACTCATTGCCTCCTCTCTGACACACACTGTGGTCTGCCCAGTCGTCTGCCCAGCCAGGGGGCATCCCTGCAACCCTCGCAGGGGCCCCTGGGAGAGCAGACTCAGTCTCTCAGTTGTATTCCTAATCAGGACAGAGTAATCCTCTTTACACAGCCTTGCCTTTGGGCAGGGTGAGCAAAGGTAGGCAGATCCTTTTAAGTTTTGATTGTCAAACCCTTCTCCGTACGAGCTCTCCTGTGCCTTCTGCCTTCCCCCATTTTTTGCATTTTCAGAGACCTCTTAGGAGTTTTCCAAAGGTGAAATCTAGAAAAGTAGGGAAACCCCTGGTGAAAAAAGGCCAACTCTTTCTGCCTTGCTTTTTTCTTCCTAAGCTGCAAGGCTCAACAGTTGGTGGCATCCACCCTCCATTACTCAAAATGAGTAAGACCTAAAAACCTGTATTGTCAGAATAGTCATGGAAAACTTCAGCTCTGTCACCCTTAACAATTTAGGCTTTCCTTTTCCCTGCATTCTCTTCCTGCCCTTATGCATAATAATACGAGCTAACCTTTGTAGTTGAACTCCTTGTACTCGAGGTACTTAATGCAGATTGTCTCGTTTAATCTCACAACATCTCTGGAGAGTAGGGGCTGTCAGTGTGTTTTACAGATGGGGGAAAGGAGGCTCAGAGAGCATTCATCACTTGCCCTATAAAGTGGTAGAGGTGGGTCTCTGACTGCAGAGTCCACATTCTCGTAACCATTTGGCTGCTAGAACACATGCCCTTGTACATCCAGCTTTTTCCCCTATCGAGAGTTACTTCTTTGGAATAAATTCTCAGGAGTTGGGGTGATGGGGTCAGAGGGTTGGGTATGTTAACCTGGCAAAGTTTTAACTCTTGCTCACTCCCTGTCCTGCCATAGCGCCTGCCTCCAGCACCCTGAAGATGCCGAGTGCTATATCTTCTTTACCGGGTTGGTGATGGCTGCCGTGCGGTGAGCCCTGGGCACACGTGCTATCCTGCTGAGCTGTCCACTTGTCTGAAGACCTCTTAAGATCGCCATTTTTGCCTCCCTGCCAGCTGTTTTCAGAATGGGCCTCTGGGTCTCTTGAAACCATTAGATTAGGTGATATGGTGCACCAGCAAGGGGAACGTTGTCCTGTGGCATCTATGGGTCTGGTTCCTGGCATCCCCATGTTCCTCAGCAGATCTGGCTGTACATGGATCAGAGGCATTTCTTCTCCAGCATTAACTATGACTGACCCAAGTAGCTGTGTTGGACTGCTCACTGCATTTAATAAAAGAGTTCCTTTTGGAAGTCTGTGCTGCCCCCATGCCAAGTTAGGAGGAGACGTCCATACGGTCTGCGGCTTATTAGGGAGTTAGGATTGAGAGCCCTTTGCTGAGGCCCCGGGATCATCCTGGCCCATCGACAGTTGTGCAGTGCCAGAGGGCTGGTTTTGGACATGACTGTTGCTTTCACTGAGCAGCCATGGGAGAGCATGTCCCATGCAACTCCTCCCTCTTAAGAACCGCATCAGACAATGAGTAGCCTGCTGAGACCTGGGAACTCTTAAGTCCAAACCCATGATAGGGTAAAGAGGACTGGGCTGTCATCTTTCATTCCTTTTGGCCGCTGTAGATGGTGGGAAGCAGCTGTTGCCAGGAGGTGAAAGCTGGCCCCTTTCATTTTTTCATCCTGCTTCGGGCAGTTCCTGTATCCAGAAAATCCAGAAAGGCCAAAGAAGAGGAATGGAACAAATGAAGTGGTTTGAAGGATGTTCCAGTAAGTCCTGTGGAGAAAATGATTGGGGCATGAAGCTTTGTACCTATTACCTAAGGAACTGTTGATTCGACATGGAGATGAGAAGAATTTGCCAAGTCACAGAGGAGAAAGCCCAACCCCTGAAATGTCCATCTCCAGTGTGTGGAGGTGAAACAGGGATAACCAGCTAAGTTAAGATCTTGGCTGTCCCAGGAAGCTTAGGCATCAAGATGATGAAGGCCATGCTTTAGTGTTTCTATTTCCATTCCATGCAACTTCTTGTCTTCTTGCTTAGAATTGGGAAGGTTATTGGCATTGACTCTTACTCTGCGGGGCTCTTGGTACCAGCCTGAGCTCTGGAGAAGTGATCACTGGAGATGGAGGTCTGAGCCCGCCCTTATGTCCTCACAATACTTGTGTGCCAAGGTAGTTTTAGATTTGACGTCATATCTGCCCTCCAGAGCACGTCCCTGCCCTTCCATACTCTAGAATGTTTCCTGCCAAGGTGACAATAAATAGAGCAACCCAGAGGTGATGCTGACTGTTCAGTATCTGTAGGCAGGAGGGTGCACAGTGTGCTGTGGCCATGGTCCAGGATCTTGACCCATGCAGCATATATCCAAACCAGGCTACCTGTCTTTAGTCCAGGAGCCTCACCTGCCAGTCTGGCTGGCAGCCAGGAGGGAGTACCTAGTGTGTAGGAGTCTGAAACAAGGCAGAAAGGGGTGCTGTGGGCAGAGAGGGGGGCATGTGTGATAGATAAGAGAGAGTATCTTGAACGCCAGGCCCTCTCTCCCTGACTTCCTGTAGAGCTGGTCTCGGCAGTGATTTGCACAAAATTAGGCTTCGTTCTTGAATTAGCTTGTAGGTAACTGCTTTTGGAATTCATTTAGTAAGTTTGAGGAAGATATGAAATCTGAAAGAGGCATCCATAGGTCAGGGGTTTGGTAACTTTACAGGTAGGATTACACACCAATAGACCCGAGGACAGTAAGACTGTGTGAGACTATATGAAGCTTTTAGGAATCATTGAGGACAGGCAGGGGGTCCTGAACAACCCACTCATGACTTAGGAGTACAGCTTAGACAGTGCTGGAGTGGTTGCTCCTGAAAGATGCTGGCCCAGTGTATGCTGGGGCCAAGGGAAAAACTAATGGATTGTCCTGTGTTTGTGCAAACCCTAGTATGCTTCCCTTGGATAATTTCCTGAGGCTTGGGTTGTACACCTTGAAGAAAGCCAAACCTGAAAAGGGGAGTTGTGAGAACACGGACTCTTTCTCACCTTGGAGGGACAGGCTAAAGGGGGAAGTGGTTGAAGTCCACAGAGTCATGTTCTTCAACTCCACACTTCTGCACCCGCTCTTCTCGAAATGCAAAAGGAAGCTTTCCTCTACCTATCACGTATCAGACTGGAGTCCATAACCTCAGAAGGCAATACTACCGGCTGAGAATGTAGAAGGATCAAGAAGGCTTTATCTAAATTCTTGACATTCAACATGACAGGTGCATGTTGATGCCCTATGGAAGATGTCCTTGTGCTTTAAGAGGTCACTGACAGAGGAAGATCTACTTGTTCTTGGCCCCACAACCAGAACAGCCTTGGGCTGGGTGGGTTATAAAGCTGAGCCACTGTCACGATTCTGTTCTTACATTAGCTGTAAAAACAATTTAAAAAAATAATAAAAGCAACTTTGGATTTCTTCAACTTGTTTTAAACTGACTTCTCTTGTTTATTCTGATAGCCATTTGGTGAAATGGCACAGGAAATAAAAGCTAAGATACTGTGGTGATGCCAGGGATCATCTTGCTGATGCCTGGTGCCATGAGGTGGATACTGTAATTCCCTCTTTACAGGCGAGGAAACAGGCACTGAGAAATCAAACAGAGGGAAGCGGCAGAGGTAGGACTAGAACCAGGCAGTCTGCTGCCACTGTCCGTTCTCTGCATTGTGCTGGGGTTCTGAGATGGGACACGGGAGTGGACGTTAGCCAAGGAGGTGAGATGAAAGCCTTCATGAGACCCTTCCGCGTTCACTTCCCAGCAAGCCTGAAGTGATTGCTGCAGCCCTGGTGGGGCTCGTGGCTGGGCCTGTGTCAATAGGCGGGGTCCCTTGCCCTTGGTCCTGAGAGGTTGAAATCCCTTGCACATCCTGTACTTTTTCTACCTGCTCCGATAAAGACTTAGAGATGAATGAATTCCAATGTCCAGATTATTTGTGAACTTGTATCCACGAGGACCTTCCTGTCCTTGAATTCCAGGTCCCTCCATTTAGCATTGGGACCCTCTATGGGTGGAAGCCATAGTTCTGGTAGACTACTTGGAGTATCCTAGTGCATGTGAGCTCATCTTGATACTATCCTTTGGAGAGACTGGGTGCATTCTTTCCCTTCCAACTCTGGTTTCACTGACTTGGGGGGAGTCAGATGAGGTGAGAGACGAAGTTTAGATTGTTCAAATGGTAACGGTCTTAAATTTCAGGAATATAGGAACGGCGTCATAGCAAAACATAGTTTTTTTTTTCAAGATACTCTCTCTTACCTGTCACACATGCCCTCCTCTGCCCACAGCACCCCTTATAAAAAAGGTTTCATTTTTATCTCTAAAGCATATGTTTTTGTCAGGATCAATGGATGCAAGAAGCAGAAACCATTCACCACCATTAGTTCTAAAGGCCTCATATTTTTCTTTTTTTATTTATTAGGGAGAGAGGGAATGAGCAGGGGGGGAAGGGCAGAGGGAGAGAGAGCAGACTGCCCGCTGAGTAGGGAGCCCGATGTGGGACTCCTGAGCAAAAGGCAGACGCTTAACCAACAGCCACCCAGGTGTCTGGCATCATACTTTTTCAGCAGACATTCTTAACAGGGAGCCTGACAGATTCTGCTACTTGCCTTGGGACCTCAACTGCCGTGCACCTGCTAGGGGCTGGTTTTGATCCTGCCACCACAGGACTTTGCAGCTATGGAGCCCTCTGTGGATGGGCAGTCCCTGTCTTTTGGGTCACATTATAAATGTGGTGAGCCTAGTTGGCTCACCCTGCCTTCCTGCCTGTTCCTAACTTTGTGCCTAGGCCACCTCCTCTCTTGCTTCAGCGACCTCAGCCTTCCCTACATGCCAGCTCTTCTCACAGTGCTGTGCCCTGTGCCAGAGATGCTGTTCCCTTTGCTACTTTCCTCATCCTCCAGGATTGAGCTTGCATGCATCACTTCGCTGACGCTAGGCAGTTAGCTCTTCTGTGCCCCCAGCTATGCATTGCTACATCCAAAACCTTGGATTACACTGGCTTGGGTTGCATTTGGTCCACTTGTAGATCAAGCTTCTCCCAGGCTTGGCCTGGAGGGGTCAAGGTCAGAGTCAGATCATCGGCCTCTGTAGCTTAGTGTGTGGCTTACCGGGTGGGAGCCCGGTAAATGCTGATGAGTGGCTATGGGCCGTCAGCCCAGCCTTTCCTGCTCTCCCCCGGCACAGAAGTCCCCACAGTAAACTAATGGATGCCATTTGCTGTCTCGGGATATTAGGAGAAAGAAGAGAAAGCCCTGCTCCAAATTCACACGAAATGGTGCAGCTCACCCAGGGGACCAAAATGATGTTTGGAACCCAAATGTAGGAGATGGGGTCTTTACTCATCCTGCCTCCGGCTCACCACATACCACCATGGGTGCCGCCCCACCCCCACCTGTAGGAAACCTACACTTCATCACAGTTTGCCTTCCTTTCCTCTTCCATTCCTTCTCATTCCGTCTTCCCCTCCCTCACCATGTAAAAACTACCTTCCTCACTAAGCACTCTGGCATCTCAGTTGTTCCGATCTCCAAGCCCTGGAGCTGGGTGAGAGCCAGAATCACTGTTCCCATTTCACAGATGGAGAACTATGTCAGGACCAATGTTAGGAGCAGAAAGGCCTTCCATGCAGGGAGAATGTGGAGGCAGCCTGAGTCCCTGCTTCTCTCCCATGAGGGACATCCAGACTCCCTGTAGAGAGGGCTTTGTGAAGGGCAGGGTGGCCCAGCTTGTCAGGGAGGGGGCAAGGAGGGTACCAGGCAGGTCAGGAGTGGGCCCAAACTGTGGCTGGTGTCTACTCTAGGGCTCCTCAAGGGGAGAGACAGCACTGCACAGAAGCCATGGGAACCATTTGGGGGAATGGGGGCAGGGCAAGTGAGCCCAGCTGCTGAGAAGGTGGGTGGACAGGATGGTGCAGTAGATGAGAAGGGGCCAGTGAAGAGAAGACGGAGGAAATGGCACATGGAGCCCCACTTGCCCATAGAGCCACCCTGGCCCACAAACGCGGGAAGAGATGGTACCAGATGGAAGGTGCCTGGCGTTCAGCACACAGTGCATGTTTGCGCCCTGGGGGTGAGGCTCCATGAGAATGTGCTCAGTCCCCAGTCTCCAGTCTGACTTGGCAGTTACAAATCTCAGGCTGAGGTTGGGCTGGCCCAGACTTGGCCTGCTCCTCCTCCCCATGGCAGAGGGTAGAGAAGTGGGGAGTCCCTAGGAGTGGCTCTACCAGGGTCAAAGAGTTAGCAACAAGAAGGGAGGTATGGAGCAAAGGGCCATGGAGGGCAGAAAGGCATGAGGAAGCCCCTTGCAGGGGCCCAGGCAGCACACCCTTGCTTTGAGAGCAGCTGGGGAGTTTTCAGAAAAAGAAAGCAGGCTGGAGACACACCAGGGAGATGGGGTCCAGTATCCATCCAACCTATTGTCCCCCAGGGCACCTCGCTCCACCTGACATGTTCTCCATCTCCCACCCCAACACCCGCATTGCTCCTGGGTGCCTCCCTCCCGGGGCACGGGTGACTCCTAGGCTTTGGCCTCCATTTCTGAGGGCTTGTACCAGAGGGAGAGTGTCCCTGTCTGTGATATGAGAGGGTTGGACTTGGATTAAAACTCCAAAGGGAATTGGGGAGAGGGGACTTGGTGCCCTCATCAGACCCTGTACCTGACGTCTGGAGGCCTGTGGCTGAGATGGTAAGTGGAGAACCAGTTCCAGCCTCTTCTGTCCCGCCAGTGGGGAGGGCATATGTGCTCATTATCCTGAGGTGGCCAGGGCTGGGGGCACGTGGGGTTCAGGTGGTGCATGTTCGGGACCTTACTGACCTCTAAGTAGCCCTTTGAAAAGCCTTGAAGGCTCTGCCTCCCCCTCCCCCAACCCAGATTAGAAAACTTCTTGTTTTCCAGAAGTTAGGAGATTGGAGTAGAAAATGCGGATTGGGTCTGCACAAGTATTTTAGGAATTTGTCCTAAAAGCAGCTCCTAGTCAGTGACTTTCCCTGTGGACAGAAGGGCTAACCACGACCCCTCTGCCCCCTGCCCTCCCCTCCAAAAAAACCCCCAAATTCATGCCAGGTATGCACCTTGTGCCTGGGGGACAACAGATGGGTTAACCCAGAGGGTTTGACACTGACCACAGGCATACTGAGCAGAACAAAGGAATAGAGGTAGGCAAGATGGCTTTGGTCCTGGCAGAGCGCCATGAGCCAGCCCTGTGACTCAGGCTCCTGCCCTTAGCTGGGGTCCTGGCCTGCTTAGGTAACTGTCACGCCAGGTTCCAAAGCCGGGGAAGGGTACTTGGGGCTGAGGAAAGCCGTGGGAGGAAGCCCGAGCTGAGCCAGGAGCCTGACCTGGATGGAGGGCAGCGCTGAATCCTTGGTGTGCTGGGCAAGAACTCAAAGACTGCAGAAGGGGAGCTGAAGGCCAGAGAGGAGCAGGGGTCTCCCAGGGCTCCAGACGAGCCGCCCTTCCTGTGACCCGGAGAAGCATTCTGCCTAGAAGGATACTGCCGTCCTCCAGGAGCAATATGGAAGGAGGGTGCCCGGGGTGGCTTCCTCACTCTGTCCCCAGTGTTTCCCTTCCTCTTGGGGCACTCGCTTCGAACCCCATTGACCCCAGGGCCAGATGGGCCTGAAGACATTTATTGGGTTTTCCTTAGAACGGCTGAGGCAAACTTGCATTTTCAAAAGGAAGTTTATTAGCATTGAAAGGGACAAGTTAGAGATGACAGAAAATGTGGCCGTCCAATCTCCAAAGCAAGACTTGTGCTCTCAGTCCTCACACTCTGGCTCCTGGACTGGGCTGCTGGGTGGCCCTTTGTTTGGAGGGGAACTGTCACAGCCCCGCCTGTCTGCACCTGCCGTCGGGCTCTTTCCTGTGCTCTGGGGATGTCACCTGGGACACACTGCTGGGTAAGGTCCAGACCCTTTCCTTCCCCTGCCACCCACCTGGCTCCTGCAGATGTCCCGCTGGTTGAGGCACCCTGTGCTGGCAACATTTTCCCTCCAGGTCAGAGCCCGGCCGTCCTTCCTCCTGCGGCCCTGTGAACCCCCAGTCTCGGGAGGGGCCCCCTTACTTGAGCAGGCCCTCCAGCGAGACCTCCACCTGCAGCTTCTCTGCAGCCTGCGCCTTCCTAGAGGCCTCCCGGTGCCGGGCGGAGGGCTGGTAGGAGCTCTCGCCACTGGCTGGGCCCTGCCAGCCCTGGCTGAGGCCCAGCAGGGCCTGGACCTGGCAGAGGAAGTTGGGGCTTGAGAAGCAGTAGAGCACGGGGTCCAGGACACTGTTGAGGTAAGTAACGGCCAGGGAGCCGTGGAAGAGCTGTGTGCAGAGGTCGAGGGCGTGGCAGGCATGCAGGCGGAAGGCCACCATGGAAGCCATGCCGAAGACGACGCTGGGCAAGAAGCAGACGGTGTAGACGGCCACCACCGCGGCCAGCATGCGCACGGCTCTCTGCGGGCCCGCCTGCCCCCCCAGGCTGCGGTGCCGGATCGTGAGCCCAATGCTCACAATGGCAAAGAGGATGAGGGCCAGCGGCAGGAAGAATTCTAGCACAAACAGGGCCTGGTGCCAGTGGAGTGAGGCCGAGGGCCTCGCACTCAGCCGGTAACTGAGGCAGGAGCCGTCGGTATAGGCAGCCAGGAGCAGGTGCCCGTTGAGGAGCAGGATGCTGGCCCAGAGCCCCCCGGCCACCCTGGCGGCCGCCCACACGGAGGCCCGGCTCAGCATGTGGTGGGGCCACACCACCTTCAGGTAGCGGTTGAGTGCAACGGCCGTGAGGAAGACCACACTGGCCGAGCGGTTGGTGGACAGCATGAAGAGGTTGAGCTTGCAGGCGGTGGCCCCAAAGCGCCAGTGCTCCTGCAGGAAGTAGTAGTCCACGCGAAGGGGCAGGTTGATGATCAGGAGAAAGTCGGCAACGACCAGGCTGACCAGGAAAACCGTGTTCGACGTCCAGGGCCGCGTGTGGAAGCAGAAGATGAAGAGCGCCAAGCTGTTCCCCACCAGGCCCAGGATGAACTCCATACCCAGGATCGGCGCCAGGAGGGTAGACACGGTGGGGGAGAAGGCTGGGAAGCAGGAAACCGTGGCCTCTCTGGTGGCCCCCAAGTCTGTGGTGAAGGCTGAAGGAGAGGAGGAGAGGAAGGGAGGGAGGGAGGTGGGGAGGGAGGCAGGGAGAGCGGAGGGAGGGAGAGAAAGGAGGGGAGAGGAAGAGCTCAGGTTATGAGATTCCATGAGAGAAGTTTCCAGCTTTCTACCCCTTTCTACCCCTTCCAGCTTTCTACCCCTGCAAGAGTGTTCAGGGCAGAGTGGAATGATGCTCACTACCAGCTAGTCACCATGATGACTCAATATCCTGGGGTTTTTATCAGCATCCTTGCAGCCACTGAGAAACACCCAGCCCAAGGGGAACCCTGCAGCCCTCCCGCCCCTCTCCCTCCCCCCACACTGAGTGACCTGGCTGCAAGGTCTCTGAAGGGCGTGGGGGGAGTCTGGGCTGCCCCTGGCATGGGAGGAGAGCAGGGCTCGGCAGGGGTGACATGGAGGCCCAGGGAGAACCTGAAGTGGGAGGAAGGCCCAGCTGGGGTGAGGAGGGGAGGAGTGTCCACAGCGCCGAGGGCTCAGACGTTTGCTTGCCCGAAGGCCGCAGCTGGTCCTGGCAACCCATAGCTCTCAGGGTCATGCAGGCCACCCTGTACACCCCCGCCCCCCCACGTACAGATGGGGTGGCTGCCTCCCTGCCCCCACCAGCTCTGGAAGCAGGGAGTGTGGAGCTAACAGGACGTTGTCCCCGGAGAGGGAGGTGGGGATTCCAGCCAATACCTTAACCACGTGCTCATGGCCTTGTGGCATCAGCCTGTTTGTGCCCTGCCATCCCCAATTCCCGATGGTCCAAAGTCCATGTACCCCACGAAATACCTCCCACACGCAGAGAGCTCCCCTGCCGGTAGAAACCGGGCTCCTCCCCCAGACAGAACAATCCTGAGAGCCTTCAAGATGCCCTGTCCACTGTCCGCCCCACTCCATCTGCACCCAGCATTCCCCACAGACAGGGCAGTAGATTCCGGGCTGTCTTCAGGCAAGGTTTTCCTGCTCCTCTACTGCGTGGTGTTCTCAGGAGCCCCTGGGGCCTCGGACTCCTCCTGACGTGGGACAGCGCCGAGGGAGCCTGCGGCTCCGGGCTGCAGGACCTGACACCCACCCTTGCCGGCTGGCTACGGTCAGCAGGGTGCGTGCGTGCCAACTCTGCCTAGGCCTCGGGGCTTCAGACACAGTGGCCATTGGCCTCTCTTTCTCAGAACCTCCAGGCCTCTCTCACCTCTGTCCTGGGCTCTCATCTGGCCAAGGCTGAGGGAGACGGGCCGTAAGAGGCTGTGACCCCAGGGTGCTGGGTGGTGAGACCACCAGCCTGAGCTTTGAATGCAGACAGGCCTTGTTTGGAAAGAGCCGCTTGTTTGCCAAACCTCTCAGGGAACTCCCTAGCACGGAGCTAATGTTCAGAAAAACAGAAGATCTCATTTTCGTTATTTTCTCAGGTTAGGTCTGTCCTGGGCACTAGGGACAAGCTCGTCTTCTCCTGGCCGCCTGGCCCTGTGCAGGGGGGGGCCTCTGCGGGACATTCCCCGTGTTCTTTCCTGGGGGAACAGAGCAATACCCTGCTGTGGCCCACGTTCGGACTAGCCTCTGGCTTCACCTCCTGGACTGTGTGAGTTTGTGGGGGAGGCTGCCAGTGTTTCTTCTTGGCTGGTGGGAGAGGAAAGCCTTAGGGGTAGAGAGGTGGGCACAGGCCCTGGGGTGGAAACCCTTTCAGCAAAGCCAGGTTCCCATCTGCTTTCAAAACAGATGGTGGAGCGAATCAAAACAGTGGGCCAGAGTGGGGGAAGGCAGGGTTTAGAGTCCACGTTTTCCAGAGGAAGTTTTGACCCTAACCAGGGACCTGTTCCATCCAGATCCCACTTTGATTACCCCCACCTGCAACCCCTTCTGGACTTCTCACTGAAGTCCCAGGAAACCGGGCTCTGGTGTCCGCTGTAGGTTCTGGGTTTTGTCTCTACCCATGGCTGCTTCTAGGGTTCCCGGCACTCCTGGACTCCGCAGAGCACCCAGGAGCCTTCGGAGTCTTTGGACATGGCGCCTGTACCTAGCGGGGGGGAGCCTTATTGTGATCTTCATGTGCTAACCGTGGTTAATTCTGAGTGGTGGATCTTGGCTTTTTAAGTATTTTTGTTTTCTATGATTAGTACACATCACTTGTTCCTGGGGAGAAAAAACCCAACAGACACTATTTTTAAAAGTCATGTAAAAAGAGTAAGCGGGAAAGATTCAAGAGGCGGAGGGACAATTATGAACCCTGGCCCCAGGACGAGCACAGGAGTGAGAATGGATGGGCCACACACACACAGTGAAGAGAGCCCCTTTACGAGTAGGGACACCCACTAACAGACTGTCCACACATCTACGTGCACCTGGTGCCCCCAACACACCAGACACACACACACACACACACACACACGAGTCACAGGAGTACAGGGGGTCGGCCATCCATGACAGCCCGTGTGCATGCAGACATACAGGCGTTTGTCCACCAGGAAGCCTTTATTGAGGGCCCTCTGGGTAGCAGGCAGGTGCTGCCCTGGGCCTGTGGGGACAGAGGAATAGAGAGGTAGTCCGGCCTCCATCAAGGAGCAGACCGTGCAGGGCAGTGGGCAGAGGGCTGTTAGAGGAGAAGGGGCACCACCATCCCCCCAAGAGCCTGGCATCTCGGCCGAGAGGACAGGAGGGTGGATGGCGATGTCGAGGGCCCAGCTCCGGGAACACAGAGTGGCTCAGCAGTGGTACATCCAGAAGCAGAGCGGGCAGGGGAGTTATGTGGGGGAGGGAGGCACTGCTTCGGGCTGCACCCAGAGGATCAGCCCAGGGGCTTCTTGCGGGCGGGGTCCTGGGTCACAGCCAGGGCCACAGAGCCCTGCCCTTGCTCCCAGGTGTACCTGTGGAGACACAGGTGGGCTGGGGTCAGACAGGTGGGCCCTGAGGATCCCAGGGGAAGGAGGGTGGTCCCACAGCTTGGCGGGGGGAAAGTCCTCCCGTGCACTCACGCGTTCCCGGCTGGCACCAGAAGGCTGTCATCCGGGGCCAGGCTCAGGTGCTGTTGCCCCATTGTCACCACAGAGGAGCCCTCCTGGGAAAGAGGAGCAGGAGAATGGGAATGGAGGCCGTTGGGCCTCAACACCTGTCCAGGGGTCCCTGAGTCTGCCTTGGCAAGGAGGCCCTGGGAGCCACTCCAGGCTCTGGGAGTCCAAGGCCCAGGAGCAGCCTGGTCCCCATGGGCAGGAGGATGTGCCACCCTCTGTCAGGGGCCCCACTTGCCAACTGCCACAGCCACACATCCACGTCCTGTCTCGGGCCTTCGCTGCTGCCTTGTCCATGGACGATCACCTGGCAGGAAGTGACATACATCTTTCTGGTGCTTCTGCCCCACACAGGAGATGGCCTTGAACCTGCCCCCCAGACGCTAGGCCTGCAGCACCAGGCACAGCCTTATCTTCATGTGTAGGGCCAAGACCAAGACTTGGAGGGGAAGGCTGCCAGGCCGTGGGCCTTCCTGCTGCCTCCCTGCTGAGCAGTGCTGCCCGCCGTCCAGGACCACGCCTGTCTGCCCTTCACACGCACATGCGCATCGGATGCCTCGGCCGCCCATGCCCACGACTGCTGACCCATATGAAGGCATGACTGCCAGGGGCACGCTCGGGACACACACACTCATGTGTGCACGGCTTAGTGTGGACTCGTGTATCACACACAGAGCTCCCCAAAGAGTGCCCACCTGCCTTCTTCCATGGGATTCTGGCCTGAGGAGGAGGAGGGAGATGGGAGGGGACGAGGCTTTTTGACCTGCATCAGCCCAGCAGCTACTGTGCAGGCCTCGCTCCTGCTGGCCCAGAGTGGGACTCAGTAGATATCTGTTGGCATAAACTGAAGCAGGTGGGAGCAGGCGTGTGCACGTGGCAGAAGGCAGCACTGGGAGGCCAGCTCGCTGCCGAATGCTATTGCCGTGTTGGGCTGGGAGGGGCTTTGTGGCGTGCCCCTGTTTTCACGGCCCCGTGTAAGCTCAGGTGTCTGCAGGCCAGAACTTTCAGGGCAGGTGTGTACCCAGGGAGCATCCCTCCACGAGGGTGTCTGATTCAAACTGCAACGTATGCGCCCATGGCAAACTGTAAAGGACAAGCAAGCCCAAGCCTTGCAACTTGTCCAGCCCAGGAGACCTGTCAGGACCTGGGCACTGCCTGCTACTCCTGCCATCCAGCCATGGTGCTTGCTGCCCCCACTCCCCTGCCCTGGCTCCTGCCAACTTCAGCTACTTGCAGTGCCAGGCTATTGCAAGCTTCCATGCCTTTACCCATGCTTTTCCCTTACCTGGAATGCTCTCTCAGCCTCCCTTTCTTCCTTTTGCAAACTCCTATATTTGCTTTAAAATGCAGCTTACACGTCACCTCCTCCAAGAAGTCTTCCCTGACTTCCCTCCCAGCCTGGGGTCCTCCTTCATTGTCCTATGGCTTCCTGAATCTTCTCTACCAAATAACATACCACCGATTGTGGTAATTGTTGATTAACTTGTCTGTTTATCAGACCATACACTCTTTGAGGCAGTGACTCTTTTTCTCCTACCAAAGCCTGAAACATCATAGGCATTCAACAAATGCTGAATGAAAGAAGGCCAACTTTGTTCGGGTGGGTGTCTCTCTGTGCACCTCTCCACCCAACCCTCACCCCCAGGCATCTCTCCTCCTTCCGGGTCCCCAGGTTGAGACTGGCCAAAAGTTCAGGAATTCCTAGTAGAAGGATAACTCTAGACCCCCAGGAATCGGTCAGTGTATGGGGCAACCCCCTACTCTGAAGGCAAAGAAAGACTGCTTGAGACCACGTAGACTCCACTCCTAGCACAGCTGTCACTCTCTGAGTCAGGGAGGAAACAGGAAGACCTCTGTGTCACAACCTCTGAAACTCTGTGTGTGTGTGTGTGTGTGTGCACGCGCGTGCGTGCGCGCATGTGTGGGTGATTAGTTCCCATCTCCTAGGGCTGCTGGGTAGATGCCCTGGGTGGCCCAGGGCCTCATTACCTGTGTCTCATAGGTGTCCCCAAACAGGCTGAGGGGTGTGCCTGCCTGCAGCTGTCTGTGGTGGCCATCCAGCCAGGCCTCCAGGGACATGGGCTCCATGACAGATCGTGTGCTCAGGGGGAATGGCGGTTCCTGGAGCAGCTGGTCTGCGCCCACAGCATAGCTATGTCAGTGGCCTCTGGCCCGGCCCGCCCAGGGCCCCAGCAGGCCCAGGGCTCCCAGCTCTGAATCACCAGGATGGGCTCTGGATCCAGCTCGAGCACCAAGCAGCCACGTGGGGGACATTATTTGGTGCCATTGTCTCGTACCTTGAGTACTGGGCAGAGAACTCAAAAGGAGACTGGTACTCTGGACCAAGACCCATTCTACTCTGGGAAAGCAGAGAGGGAGGGAGAAAGGCAGTTCCCCGGGGGGCTCACCAGGGATGGGCTTTCCTGTTTTGTGCTGCTCAGAGCTGAAGAACCTGCAGGGAGAAATGCGGAGGAGTACGAGTGGCCAGCATTCCCGAATGAGCGGCCAGGGACACACAGGTACACACACTCATACGCTCTTAGGTGCAGGAGCCCACACTCTCATGGGGCCCTACACAACTCGTTGGAGGGCCACCCTCCCCTCCCTTCCAGCCCAGGACCTCCCACCCTGGGAGGGGCAGACTTTCCCCCCACATCCCAGGCATGCTGGCTCCAGTGTGGTGGGCACTGCTGGGTGGATCTGCCCTCCCCAGCCAGAGCAGGGGGCCTCAGAGAGCAAGGGGCAGGGACTGGGCTGGGGCTCACTCCTGGATGATGGGGGCCAACTGTGTGCCAAGGTCCTTGCAGTAGAACCACTTCTCAAACAGGACGTCCGTGGTGTCACCCATGTAGTACCTGCCAGAGCAAAGGACAGGTAACCCAGCTCCCCACCTGGGTAGCCTCAGGGCGGCTCTGCTTGTGGAAGTCTGGACCCTGGCTAGCCCCACAGAGCTGGCCGCCACTTCTCCCCGTTAGCGCAACCTAGTGTCCAACGCTCACTCACCCACCCCTGGCTCTCCCAGAAGCACTATGTGCGCCAAAGTCGGGGGGCTATTATCGACCTCATTAGCATTCCTGGTTCCCCAAACAACCATTTACAAAGTGGATAGAACTCTGAGGCTCGGAGAAGCTGGGTAACATGGCAGAGATTACACAGCCTGTGGGTGGTAGGTGCTGGACGGACTCAAGACAGTCTTAGAAACACAGACAAAAAATCAGTAACAAGTGTCTTCATTTTCCCAGAGAGGAAGCTGAAGCTGACAGGGCCTGCGCAAGGAAACTTACGGAACCAACATGCAGAAGATACCCCCCAGATGAGCTGTCCTGCTCCTTTAGGGGTCATGGATGCCTTTGAGAATTGGAGCAAAGGGCTGGGCCTCTTCTCCGGAGGAAAGTCCATGTGCGTGTACACATAGCCTCTCCGAGACTCTCGGAAGCCCACCCAAGCCCCAGCCCGGCTCAGTGAGCTCGGGCCTCAGGCCCCTGGTGTGTGCAGCTCTTTTGTTGACTGAATGTCTAATCCTCAGGCTCAGCTCCCAGGGCCAGGCCCGCTTTGTCCTTTTCAGGTTCTCCGGAAAAAGAGAAGTGGTCCTGCTTATGGGACATGGTTTATAGACACACAGCTCATCCTAAGTTCTATCCCAGGACGGAGTTGGACACCAGAAAGCTTGCCTTCAGAGTGGCATTTTTAAAGTTGAGTCCCTGGTTTTTTTTTGTTTTTAAGATTTTATTTTTCCATTTGAAAGAGAGTGAGAGGGGGAGGAGCAGAGGGAGAGGGAGAAGCAGAGGAAGAAGCAGACTCCCCACTTAGCAGGGAGCCCAATGCGGGGCTTGATCCCAGAACTCCGGGGTCATGACCTGAACTGAAGGCAGACGCTTAACCAACTGAGCCACGCAGGCACCAAATCCCTGGCTTTTATTAAAGGTCAAA